AAAATTAGCTGGGCATGGTGGCACACACCTTTAGTCCCAGGTACTTGGAAGGCTGAGGTGGAAAGATCACTTGAGCCCAATAGGTTGAGACTGCAGTGAGCCATGATCGCACCACTGCACTCCAGCCTGGGCGACAAGAGACTTCATCTCAAAAAAACATATATCAAAAACACATAGAGAGGTCCCTGCCCCACCAATTTGCTCCCCTTGGCACCGGCGGTGGCTGTGCTGTTGTGGTGGTAGCAGCATCCGGCTGCCACAGACCCCACCAACTACCAGCACCTGGTCTGCTCAGCACTGCAGTGGGCTAGACCAATCACTGCACCACAGATCCTTTTGGAATAAACCACGGGATTGGGCCTCATCCAGATGTGGCAGAATATGCCAAGGAAAAACTGGAGAGCTTCATCAAAAATAGTGATAGCTTTGATAATCAGCTCCCAGACTTAGACTATCCATCTAAGAGGGAAGTTACAGGGCAAGGCTAGGTCACTCTGATCTCCTAGCAGCTCATCAAAAGAATTATATGTGCAAGTTGGCAAGCCCCCACTGTAAGCGAAATCATCTGTCCATCTGAAGATGAAGATATTCCAACACGCACGTATAAAGAAAACCACTGTTGAGATTTGAGTTCTGTGAACCTGCATTTGTCGTCAGTAATTGCCTCCAGAAAGCATCTGACAGTCATTGGTATGACGGAATTTACTGTGGAGCTGGAGTCCAGGAAGACCATGAAAATACTACTATAAGTTGGAGGCATTTTAGTCACGCCTATAGAGGATCCGTTAACACAGAACCGGGCAAAACACTTGGGAAAGGAAAAATATCCTTGTTTTGTCATTTGCTCCACTTGTGCAACCAAGTAAGAATGATAATGGCAAACCAGATTCTGTGGGACTCCCTCCCTGTGCTGTCAGGAATCTATAGGATTTGGCTTGTATTTACATTCGACGCACATTTAGAAATTGCATAAATGATGAGATGCAGGCCAAGGGGATTCCTCAAAGGGCTCTACCGAAAAGGAAAAAAAAAAAGAGAGTTAAACAGAGAATTAACATGTACATATTTGTGGGTAATCAGCTTATTCCTCAGTCTCTAGACAGAGAGGAGGATGAAAAAAATGGAAGAAGGTAACAAAGAAGAGGAAGAAAAAGATCACAGTAAAGCAATGAAGCCAGAGGAGCCACCTCAAAATTTACTGAGAGAAAAAAAATCACAACTCTGCCCCTCCCTGAATCTTTAGAAGCTTACTTGACATATTTTAGAGACAAATAACTTAGATCAAGGAGAAAGAATGCCTACCAGTAATTCCTTTAGTCTTGAAAATGTAGCGTTTGTTAGGAATTAAGAGAGAAAATTATTTCTTTCATCAGAGTGAATTATAGTGGGAAAAAGCAAAACTTGTTTCTGTCAGTAACAAAAATAAAAGAATCCCTTTTATAAAATATATTTTTCTTTAAATCTTGGAAGAATGCTGTTTTAGCTCAGAGTGATTTCCAAGTGGAATGCCACAGTATTCAAGATTTGTGTACTATAAATCCTTTTCTGATTCCTTACAGATTTGTAGTGGTAAGGGTTAGATTTAATTTTATATAAGGTTTAAATAATTGTCAAGCTTATATAATGTGATCTGAATTGCAGTAGTTTGCATTTCCTCTATGAAAACTTTAATAACGAAATCAAATGCTTTGTAGACCTATTTACCTTACTTTTGTTGCAGTCACTGTTGCTGGGTTGCTGTACATATATTCCAGGGCAATATATGGGTGCAATAACAATACAAGATATTGAATAATTTAGCTTTAAAAATCCCACAAATTTTATGAAATTTTATAGCCCTGCTACTTCTGCTTTTGAATCTCTTGCCAAAAGACATGGGTGAAATATCTGCTTTTCTCATTTTAAGAACACAGCAAGTGAATTATTAAAATAGAAAGTATATACTTAATACAACTCTTATTTGGTATGGACCCTTTACATTTTCAGTATTTTTTTTAAATGAGGTTATCTTAACTTTCTAGCATTTTAAAAGTATATTTAGAATTGTTTTTTCTGTAGTTCACTGTATAAAGCATTTGGTTTGAAAAAGAAAAAATTGTCATGTGTGACTCTTGATAAGACACAGAAAGAGGGAATGAGCATGAGTGATGGCCACCTTCCTGGCTGGCTCTAAGTAGCAGGGTAGATCTGATCAGCAGATGCACTTTAGCAAATGGAACTTCTAACTTATCTGAGTATTTATCTTTGACAAGGTAGGGCTAAGCTTGCCTAGATTTGCTTTGGATCTTTCTAGTATAAGAAATATTCACAGAAATTGTTTGTTTTGAAAATCCTGTTCCGAATCATATTGTAATCTTTGGGATCCATGCCATGTTCATTTCACTTCTTCTCATATTTTTCGTGTTTCTTTTGGTAAAATTATAATGGTTTTCATTTTGTACTTAACATCACACACGTAAACCATCCATCATTTGAGCTTTACCGTAGTTTATCAGTGATAAAAACAGTAACTGCCATTGTTTGTTTGTTTTCCTAGTAAGGCCTGAAAACAGTCATTCTTTGTTAAGAAGGTGTACAATGTAACATATTTACTAGTGTTACATGGATTATACTTTTCTTAAAGAGAAAAAATTTGAAAGTATCAGGGACTACCACGAGCATTGTTACTACAGTAGTTGTTCAGATTTGGTTAAGGAAGCCCAATCAATGTATAGTGAAAGGATTATTATATCTCTGCTAAGATTCAGATATTGTTTCAAAAATCTCAGCTCCAATCATTCCACACATCTAAAAACAAGTGTTTGTACTCATCTAAGCATGAAACTGTCCCAAGTAAGTGAGGATATTTTAGTAATGTGAAAGACACTTTCATGGAAGGTATTTGTTTTATACCAGTGGGTGGGGTGGCAGAATTGGGAGTATTTCTACAGTTATTCTTAGATGATTACCGAAATGCCCCATCTCATTTCTATCTAGGAAAGGAAAAAATCAGTTTTATACTACTGTTGTCATCTGTCAGAAATGTTCATTTTATTTTCAGTTAAATGTTGCTTTAGAAGTTTAATCTTGAATTCCTGGTGACCACATGTTTGTATCTGGAAACCTTGGGGAGAGTTATCATCTGACCTATTCCCCCCGCTGTTTTTTGGTTGGAGCTGCTGTTTAGATGTGTAAAGACACATATTCTTAAATGATGATTTTACTCTTTAGGAGGGAGTTTTTGTTGAGGATACATTTGCAGATTGGCTTTTTCATATTGTCTTTCCTTCTTTGACCTTGGCAAAGTGTACAGTAGATTTTCATGATCATTGCATACCTTTTGTCATTGAAATATATCTTTTATTTTTTAAATGCATTCATTTTACAGTTGTGACTTTATCATTGACTTTAAGAGGTAGAAATAAGAAATAAAAATTAAAGTGAAAAAAACATACAGAATGCCTACAAATCAATCAAGACAAATAACCTAATTTAAAAATGGGGAAAAAAAGTGAATAGGTACTTCACAAGAGCCCTTGCAAAGGGCTAATAAAAATATTAAAACACAACTTCAGTACACTAGCAATGCAGGGGGCTGGTGAGGACATGGAGGAACTACAACTCTCATAAATTGCTGATAAGGATGTAAATTGGTTCAACACTTTTATAAAGCTGTTTGGCAGTATCTACTTTGGCAGAAACATGCCTACCCTATGATTTAGCAACTCTACTCTAGATACATGTGCAAAAGAAACGAGTCAATACATCCAGCAGAAGATTTATAAAAGGATTTCATAGCAGTTTCATTCAGAGTAGTTAAAAACTGCAAAAAAATCCAAATGCCCATCAAAGGAGAACAGATCAATAAAGTGTGTTATATGTATACAATGAATGCTAAATAGCTTTAAAAAGAACAGACTACCAATACAGTAATACACACAACAATATAAATGAATCTCAGAAATTATGTTGAACAAAAGAAGCCAGATACATAAAATAAAGTACATACTGCATGATTTAAGAACAGACAGCTGAATCTATGGTGATACAGTAATGATGGTTATATCTCTGATGGAGAAACTACTGACTAAGAATTGACTGAGAAGGGGCCTGAAGGAATTTTCTGAAATGATGGAACCATATGTTGATCTGGATGGTTGTTATATGGATACATACATATGTAAAAATTCACCAAGCTATATACTTAAGATCTTAAGAGATATATATACCTTACTGTACACAAGTTATACCTCAGTAAAAAAAGAAAAAAGATAGCCAAATTGTTCTGCATGAAGATGCATCTTACAAATTTTTTGTGAATCAAAGTCAAAGGCAAGGAATCTATTTTGTTCACCACTGCACACTTAATGCTCAATACAGTGCCAGGTACATGGCAGACAGTACATACATTTTCTTCACTTTTGTTTTTTGGCTAGAAGAGTGTGGCTTTTATTCTATTCTTTCCTATTTTTAACTGTAGGAAACTATACATAACATAAAATTGACTATTTTGACCATGGTTAAGTCTACAGTTCAGTGGCATTACGTACATTCATACTGTTTTGCAACCTTCACCACCGTTCATCATCCATCTCCATAGCTCTTTTCATCTTGTAAAACTGAAACTCTACACCCATTAATCAACAACTCCCCATCCCCAATCTTCCCCTAGTCCCTGGTAACCATCATTTATTTTTTCTGTCTCTACGATTTTGACTACTCAAAGTCTTCATGTAAGTAGAACCATAACAGTATTTGTCCTTTTGTGACTGGCGTATTTTATTTAGCTAATGTCCTGAAGATGCATCCATGTTGTAGCTTGCATCAAATTTCCTTTCAAGACTGAGTAATATTCAGTTCATAAGTATTTTTGAATTAACAAATTTACCATAACAGTAGTTTATACAAATTCTAAAAACCAGCCTCTTCATTTCAAATATACCAAAAATTCCAAAAACTAAATAACACATAGGAAAGCTGACAGGAGGAATGAAATAATTATATTCAAGAATATGGCTCACCTTCTTTGGGTCAAGATTCCCCAAAACTGAACTGGCCTGGGGACAAACTTCAGACAGTGAGCAACCAATCTTCATGATATCCTTATTTCTATTGATACTCTAGAAAGATCAGATATAGTATAAGATACAGTAAAATACTATATTATAGTGTTACACACTTGAGGGTTCTAAGCATGATAAAAGATTTCAGGCCATTAGAAATTAAATCAAGTTCTTATGTCTGTATTTTTTCATAATTTAAATGAGTTATTTATAAGAAATGAGACTAGGCCATATAAAAAGTTTACTTCCCAATGAGTTCAAATTAGGTAGAATTCAAACAAGATACCAAATATAATTAAATCATATGGAAAGGATTCCTTAAAGATCTATTTGATTGCAGAGCTCAAACTGGGAAATAAAAGATGATCCTGGAATATTTGATGGTGTCAGAAAGTAAAAAAACGCTAAAAATAAAAAATAAATAAATAAAAAATTTTTTAAAAACTGGTTGTGATGGCTCACACCTGTAATCCCAGAACTTTGGAGGGCCGAGGTGGGAGGATCATTTTTGAGCTGGGGAGTTTGAGACCAGCTTGGCAACATGGTGAAACCCTGTTTCTACAAAAAAAAAAAAAAATACAAAAAATTAACCGGGCATGGTAGTGAGCGCCTATAGTCCCAATCACACAGGAAGATGAGGTGGGAGGATTGCTTGAGCCCAGAAGTTCGAGACTGCAGTGAGCCATATTCACACCACTGCACTCCAGCCTGGTGACAGAAACCCTGTCTCAAAAAAAAAAAAAACAAAAAAGTGCTCAAAAAAAGAATAGGACATTTTTAAGGACAAGTACCAATTTGTGTTCTTTGGTGAACTTTGTCCCAATGGCCAAAGCTGAATAATTTAAACAACAAAATAAATAATGATAGCATAGGATTACAACCCATGGAATAAATATCCATGAGTTTATATTATTATAAATAATTGAATAAATAAATGGCAGAGAAGAGACAGCTCTTCCTTATAGAAGAATTCCAATTAATAGATGTGGAAGGAATGAGGGGAATAGAAAATCATCATTAGGCAAGCACTAGAGCAATAAACAATAAAATTCGTGGGTGAAAAGTTGAAGAGAAACTGGATTAGACAGCCTCAATAAGTCTCCTAAAACATTTATTAATTACAAAAGAAAAAAGAGTAACTTTACAGTGAAAAAACCTGGAAATTGCCACCCTATCCAAGTGAATCAAGGTTATCATCAATAAGAAGGTATATCACATCATGAAACCCCAATATGATGTACTGAGAGGACTACAATATCACTTCTGTGGAACTCTTGCTAATCTATTTATAAGAAATCATCAAACAAACTCAAATTAAAGGATACTCTACAAAATAACTAATATTCATCAAAAGTGTCAAAAGTCTTGAAATACAAGGAAAAATTGAGGAACATTCAGAGGTTAAAGGAAACCAAGGATACACAACTAAATACAATTCGGGATTCCACATTGGATCCTGGAACACAAAAATACAAAAAACTGCTAAAATTTAAATAAGGGCTATAGTTTAGTTAACAGCATTGTACTAACGTTAATTTCCTGCTTTTGATCATTGTACTGTGGTTATATAACACATTAGCATTAAGGGAAGCTGGGTGTAGCCTCTGTACTAATTTTGCAACATTCCTGTAAGTCAAAGTTTCTTCAAAATAAAATGTTAAATATATATATGTGTTCTAAAGAAATATACCAACGAAATATTCAATAATGCTAGAAAGAACATGACTATCCGTGATGACTGAAAAAAAAAACTCTGAAAGAGCAGTTCGAAGAACATCATGATGAATATCAAAGTCTCAGCATAGAAGAGGAATCGCACTTAAACCGACCCTGAGAAACAACATAGGCAACCTTTGTGAACAAACCCCTAGAATCAAAATATTCCATATATTTTTTTCACTATGCAGAGTAAAACAAATAGGAGCTCTTTTTTTGTTTGTTTGGCACAATCTCAGCTCACTGCAGTCTCAATCTCCTGGGCCCAAGCAATCCTACCACCACTCAGCCTCCCACACAGCTGGGAACACAGGCATGCACCATGCCCCGCTAATTTTTTTTTTTTTTTTTTTTTTTTTTTTGGAGCGACAAGATCTCACTATGTTGCCAAGGTTGGTCTCAAACTCCTGGGCTCCGGCGATCCTCTCACATAGGTACTCCCAGAGTGTTGAGATTATAGGCCTGAGCCACCATGCCTGACCAGAAGCTCTTTCTTTCAAAGAAACAGGTGGAGTCAAATAGTTCAGACTCCTTCAGCTGCCACCCATCCAATCTGAAGTGTTTGCTTATAAGTGGTTTATAAGGCAGAAGCCCACAGGGCAAAAAATGGAGAATATATGTGAGCAGATTTTCATCCTAATCTGCCTACCCATATTTCCAAATCTCTAGTCTTCTCTATGTCTACATTCCACCCTAACCCCAACCAAATTTGCCAATTTGCTTCCTGAAATAACCACTGCATTCATTTACACACCGTCAGTAGTTTTAATGTTTAATCTTTTCATGTGCATGTTTCCTGTTTTAAATGTTCTTCTGCAAGCGCCTCAACTTCATGGTTTAACTCAGAGGTTGGCAAATTACAGCCACCTGTTTTAGTAAATAAAGTTCACTGCATCACAGCTACACACACTCATTCACATTTTGTCTATGGCTGCTATGCATTATGTTGGCAGAGTTGAATAGCTGCACAAGAAACTGCATGGCCTAAAAATGGTAAACTACTCATCATCTGATCCTTTACAGAAAAAAAATTTGCTGACTCTTGAATTTGCTCCAAATTCAATCAACATCCTCACAATAAAGTAAGTCTAGAGCTGCACTACTGAATACAACAGCCAATACCCACTTAAAATGTGGCTAGTCTAAGTAGATATGCTCTAAGTCTAATACACACACTGGATTTCAAAGACAATATTAAAAAGGAAATATAAACTATCCTGTTTACATTTCCATGCTAATTATATTTTGAAACAATATTTTGGATATATTGAGTTAAATAAAATGTATTTATTAAAATATCACCTGCTATATTTAGTTTCTTCAATGTGGCCAAAAATGTTTTAAAATTACTTTCGTGGCTCATGTATTTCTACTAGACAGCACTAGTCTAGAAAATCTTTTTACACTGATAAATGATGTTTCTATACAATAAGCTTAAATATAATTTATCATCCAACCTGGGACACTGTTGAGAGTGATGCAGCTGTCACTAATACAGAGACAATGGGCATGGAACCAGAACGTGTGAGCAACCTTTAGACAATATGCATAAGCAGAAACAAATTTGCCAAATACATGTGCATAAGCAGACACACGAATTTGCCCCAAGTTTTCTATAACATCACCCTTCCACAATGTTTTATTAAATGCAGCCATGCCCCACACAGTGACACTGTGGTCAAGAATGAACCACATACACTGCAGTAGTCCCATAAGATTATAATGAAGCTGAAAAATTCCTATTGCCTAGTGTAGTCCTAGCCATCGTAACATCATAGAACAACGCATTACTCACATATTTGTGGTGATGCTGGTGTAAACCTACTGTGCCCCAGTCTTACAAAAGCACAGCACATACAATTATGTACAGTACATAACACTTGGTAATGAAAATAAACAACCATGTCACTGGTGTGTGTGTATATTTTTTTTTACTATTTTATTTTAGTGTACTCCTCCTACCCATTTAAAAAAGTTACTTGTACAGCCACCTCAAGTCCTTCTGAAGATATTCCAAAAGGGCATTATTATCACAGAAGATGACAGCTCCATGCACGTTACTGACTCTGAAGACCTTCTAGAAGGACAAGAAGTGGAGGTGAAAGACAGTGATACTGATGATCTTGTGTCTTCGTTTTTAGCCAAAAAGATTTTAAAGTAAAAAAAAATTAAAAGTTTCTTAAAAAGAGAAAAAAAGCTTTAGAATAAGGACATAAAGAATATTTTTGCACAGCTCTACAATGTTTAATCTATGTTATCACAAATGAGTCAAAAGTTTATTAAAAGTTACAGTAAGCTAAGGTTTATTAAAGAAAAATATTTTTATAAATTTAGTGTAGCCTAAGTGTATGGTATTTATAAAGTATACAGTAGTATACGGTAATGTCCCAGGACTTCACATTCCTCACTACTCACTCAATGACTCACCCAAAGCAATTTCTAATCCTGCAAGCTCAGTTCACGGTAAGTGCCCTATACAGGTGTACCATTTTTCAATCTTTTACAAAATATTTTTACTGTACCTTTATATTTAGATACATAAAGACTTACCATTGTATTACAACTGTCTGCAGCATTCAGTACAGTAACATGGGGTACGGGTACACCACACGGCCTAGGTATGTAGTAGGCTATATCATCAAGGTTTCTCTAAGTACATTCTACAATGTTCATACAGCAAAAAAGTTGCCTAATGATGTGTTTCTCTGTATGTATCCCGGTCATTAAGTGATGCATGACTGTATATTTAAGAACTCTGGGTTAATCATATTCTTCTAGAACTTTCTTCTCATATACTTCCCATATTATGAGTTCGCCTCACTCTCCACCAAAAGGAGTTCCCATGCTGTAGGGAGTACAGAGAAATGTAATTTCTTTCCCTTCCATACCATGTATAGTTTACAAAACCAAAAATTAGCCGATCATTCTGTGCATTACAGGAATTCACCTTCTTAAATTGTGGAACACAGCCCTTTAGTACTTGCTTTGTATTTAAAACTGAGTAACCTTACCTACCAACGGCCTCCCAACAGAAAATCAGAAATGTTTCATTCATGCTTCCAATTTTATAATGAGGAAAAATACCATATCTCAAATTTAAGCCATTAGAAAAAAAGACCAAGATTTTAAAAACTTATCCTCCTTCAAGAAACAACCTTATAAAAGACCCCTAGATGGGGCTATAACTTCACAAATACAACAGGCTCTCAGACTCCAGCAAAAGCAGCCTACAATTGAGTGGAATTCTGAAATCACAATCTTGCCAATTTTCTTTTTTTAAACTTGGTGTATTATGCGCATAATATTCATGTGTCAAGTAATGTCACAGCTGTCGACATTTGTCTTCTAATAATGCCTGGAGATAAATAATTCAATAAATATTAGGCAATGAGAATAATAAATATATTTATTTCTGGATTTTATTTTGTTTTTGTTGAGAAGGAACTGGATTGGGGGAGATGAGGGGGGATATCAACCAGTTTGTTATTTACCTGGGCCCAAAACGTTACTGCATCTTCTATGTGACTTCCAACCACATCTTCCACTAAAATCAAATCACAATACAAAGAAAATTAGAAATAAATCAGTACCATCTAGCTGTTAACACCCCAAAATAATTTTTAGTGTCAGTACCTTTATCGTAATGTGTATCTTCATCCATTTGGACAATTCCTGAAAAACTAGAACAATTCAATACCTTAAATTAGATTATAATAATCCATCCATTAATAATGAATGAAGACTAAACTACATCATGTTCAATTCTTACAAATGTTTTATCCAAAATGCAGCATCAAAATTCAAACTCTATATTAAAAATGAACTCAATATTTCCTTCAATAACTCTTTTGAGTATTTTGTAGTATATGCAATTTTATGATATTTAATCTCTATCCTTAAAATTATCTCTTTAGCCAAACTTTTACAAATTTATACTGAACAACTCATATACATTTTGATCACTTACATAAATCAACACTTTGAAACAATGTACATATTCTTTTTTAGAAAATATCCTCCCATAAAAAGGACTTCCACAACGTAAACAAAGAATAATAGAACAAATGCTTTAAACTGTTAGTCTATTTTATGTAAAAGGCATGGTGGTTACTATTTTTGAAGATTCCATGGGATGAAAGACTGCAAAATACATAGAATTTTGCCTATTACTTCAAAAACAATTTTCATTATATATTATACTTTATCACATGCAAAAATATTCCAAAATAAATATACACTACTATATAATTTTATGTGTAATATAATAGAACATTGCACTTTCCATTTACAAGTGTTGAAGAAAAATTAAAATACAGATTTTTGATTTTTTTTTTTTTTACCCCAAACGAAGTCTTGCTCTGTCGCTCAGGCTGGAGAGCAGTGGCACGATCTCGGCTCACTGCAACCTCCACTTCCCGGGTTCAAGCAATTCTCCTGCCTTACCTTCCCAAGTAGCTGAGAATACCGGCGCATGCCACCACGCCCGGCTAATTTTTGTATTTTTAGTAGAGACAGGGTTTCACCATGTTGGCCAGGCTGGTCTCGAACTCCTGACCTTGTGATTTGCCCACCTCGGCCTCCCAAAGTGCTGGGATTACAGGCCTAAGCCACTGCAATTTTTTAAGAGCTTTAAGAGTTGTCTAGGAACACCACTACACTGAAGTTTCAAATGCTCTCTCATTATGAAAAGGGAAACATTAACTCCTCATCACAGAAAGATAAAATTTTGTAAATGGATTACTTTTGTTACAACTTAATTTTTTTAAAAAATGTTTCGTAAGTGGCATGAAAACGTCTCCAAAACAAGGGTTCTTTTCTACTGGTCAAAAAGTAGTTTTTAAATTCAACTGACCGAAAAGCTGTAAAAACTTTTAGGGAGACTATATATTCCCATGGAAGGCATTAAGGCTTAAACTCAGTAAAAGTTAAAATTACTTTGGAAATCTCTCCACACACTCCAAGAAGCTACTTCTACAATAGTTTTTAAATCCTACTTTAAAATGACTCGCCCTGATTATGAAGGAACTGATGCCGTCCACTTTCTGCAAACAGAGATCACCAAATGGTACACCCAAATCTCCACTTCGTGATGAAAATTTGGAAGAGATGGGTACACGTAGCTCCCTGACACTTATTTTACAAGGGATTTTGAAACAAATGGCAAAGAATTTTCCAGAAGGGGAAGACAGTGTGCAGGCTGCGTGACCTCGTCTTCATGGAACTTACTCAGGCCTAAGGTTTTTTCAAGCCAGTTTCGCCTGCCTGCACGCACTCAAAAACTGGGGCATCTGACACTCCTCTGGGGTGGCGGGCGGCTCGAAGGTGACAGAAAACCCTGAAATGGGCCTCGTCCCCAGGATAGGAGACCTAAAACGCAAGCAGCGACGAAAACAGTCCTTGAAGCGGCCACCACTGCACGTACCACAAAAACTACTACTGACCTCACACTTTCCGTTGCAGAAGCTCTAGAAAAGTGACCCTGGCCCCACATACTGGGCTCTCGGCCCTCCGCCCGCCGTAGCACACGTGCAGAAGCTTACCGCGCGAGCTTTGGCCGCAAAGGCCCCACACTGCGCCTGCGTGCACAGCGCTGCGCCATCAACCGGTGCTAGCGGGAGTCACGTGGCAGCCACGGCCTACCGCCTAGTTAGAAGCGTGCGGCCAGACGCTGGCGGCTGCCGACCCCACGCACTGAGGCTGCGCCCTGGTGATTTATAGGCTGGGGTGGAGGCCATGGCCAGTTCCTTTCACAAGGCTTCAAGCAGTGACGTTAGAGGTGACGTAGGATTTCGTGGCCTTTCCTAATCTGTTCACGTGGATTTAAATTTTAGAAACACCCATATTAGAAGAACCCCGACATTCTATTTACACGATGGAAAAGAGAAAATAACTTTGGTAACTGAAAATGTGTTTTTCAGATTAGTAGCTTTACAAGCGTTGGTCAATTCATCCCTAGATTCCACAGCTCTCTCTAGCGTTACAACTTTTTCCACAATCTTAAGAGGAAAAAATTAGCTGTCTGCTTCTTTGCAGATATTATGCTTTGTGGCAAGCCTTACACAATTGAAAATTATATCTGGTTAATTTTTAACAGCTTGAAGTGTAAAGTACAATAAACTGCAGATATCAAAAAAGTGCATAATTTGTTAAGGGTGAACATATGTATACACTGTTGAAATCACCCCCACAATTAAGATAAACTTTTTTCTATCACCTCAGAGTTTCCTCATGCTTGATTATAATACCTGACTCCTCCCAGCTCCCGTTGTGCTTTCTGTCACCATACATTAGTTTGAGTTTTCTAGAATTTTACGATACTAGAATCATACAGTACGAACATTTAATCTAGCTTCTCTCCAATAGCATAATTATTTTGATTGATAAATTTTGTCCTATGTATCAAGAGTTTGTTGGGTTTTATTGCTGTTACTATTCCGTTGCATGAAGATAACACAATTTATTTACCTTTTAACAGGTATTTGGACTGCTTCCAGTTTTGAATTGTTTCAAATAAAGCTGCTATTGTGTACAAGTCTTTGTATGGACATATGTTTTCTTATGGGTTAGTGCCTAGGAGTGGAATGGCCAAGTCATAGAATTGTGTATGTGCTTAAAAAACTGCCGCATTGTTTTACAGTGTTGTACTATTTTATATTCCCACCAGCGGGGTTTCAGAGTTCTGGTTGCTCTGTATCCTCACCATCATTTGATATGGTCTGTGTTTTTAAGTTTAAACATTTATATATAAATGTTTAAAGTGATATCTTCTTGTGGTTTTAATTTGCATTTATTTCTCTACTAACTAAAGATGTTGAGAAACTTTTCTTATGTTTATTTTCCATCCAGATCTTCCTAAATGAGATGTCTGTTCAAGTTTTTTCCTAACTGAATTTATTATTGAGTTTTGACAGTTCTTTATATACTATGGATACAACTCCTTCAGGTTTGAAAATATTTTCTCCCAGTTTACAGTTGTCTTTTTGTTTTCTAAAAAGGGTATTTCAAAGAACAAAAGTTTTTCATTTCAATAAAGTCTAATTTATCAGTTTTGTCTTATGGGTCATGTTTTTGTGTTGTACATAAGGAATCTCTGACTAGCCTAGTTCACAAAAGTTTCTTATATATTTTCTTCTAGAAATTTTACATGTTCAAGCTTTACATTTTGATATATAGTCCTTTTTGAGTTTATTTTTATAACATATGAAACGATCAAATTTTATTTTATTGCATATGGATATCTAATTTTTCCAGCATCATTTGTTGAAAACACTGTCATTTGTCTATTGACTTGTCTTTGCACCATCGTCAGAGATCAATTAACCATACATGTGCAAGTCTATTTCTGGATTCTCTGTTCTGTTACACTGATCTATTTGCTTTCTTTAGACTAATACCACACTGTCTTAAATACTGTAGTTTTATAGTAACTCTTGAAGACATGTACTGTAAGCCTTCCAATATTATTCTTTTTCAAAGTTGTTTTAGGTTTGTAGTTTCATGCAATCGTAGAACTAATTTGTCATTATCTACACACACACAGAGCATGCTGTGATTTTGATTGGGATTACATTGAATGTATATACCAATTTGAGAAGAATGGACATCTTAGCTATATTGAGTCTTCTGATCCATGAACGCAGTATATTTATTTGGGTCTTATTTTATCTCTCTGAGTGATGTTTTGTGCTTCTCATTATAAAAGTTTGACTTTTGTCTGATTTAACCCTAAGAATTTCATTTTTCATGCTGTTGTAAATTGTATTATTTTCTTAATTTCAACTTCTGTTTGTTTTGTTGCTAGTATATAGAAATATAACTTTAGTATATTGTGCATTATTTCTGTGATAGTTTTTCTGTGTGTGTGTGTGTGTGTGTGTGTGTGTGTGTGTGTAAGACATGGTCTCGCTCTGTCATCCAGGTGAGAGACCTGTGGTGATATCACAGGTCATTGCAGACTTGAGTTCCCGGGCTTAAGCAATCCTCCTGCCTCAGTCTCCCAAAGTTCCAGTATTAGGCACTGAGCCTAGCCTATTTCTAGTGATAGTTTTTAAAACAAATTTAACAGAATTATATACATAGATGATCATGTCTTATGCAAATAAAGGCTGTTTTTACTTTCTCCTTTACAATCTGGAAGTCTTTTATTTATTTTTATCTTGCCTTATTGCAGTGGCTAGATCCTCCAGTGTAATGCTGAAAATAAGTGCTGAGAGCAGACACCCTTGCCATGTTCCTATTCTTAAGAGGAAGGCATTTCCCTCTCACCATTAAGTATGATGTTTGCTGTGGGTTTATAATAGATACCCTTTAATAGATTAAGGAAGTTACTTTCTATCCTGAGTTTGCTGAAAATTTTTATCATGAACGTGTGTTGAATTTTGTCAAATACTTCTTTTCATATCTATTGATATGATCATGTGGTTATTTTTTAGTTTGTTAATATGATGAATTACATCAATTAAGTTTCAAATGTTATACCAACCTTGCATTTCTGGGATAAAATTCACTTGGTCATGATGTATTATCCTTTTATATATTCTCATATTAGATTTGCTAAAATTGTTAAGAATTTTTGCATCTATGTTCAAGAGGAATATTGGTCTGAAATTTTCTCTTCTCATAATGACTTTGTCTGGTTTTGATATCAGAGTGATGCTGGCCATATAGAATAAGTTGCAAA